TTCAGCAGGGAGGAGAGAAGCTAGTCAGAAGCTCTTCCATGAAACAGGGAGTGACGGTCTTTTTTAAAGGATAATCCTGTTTTCTTTATTCTTATAAGTTCCTTGTTCCGTATTGAAAGAAAGCAACTCTTTCTGTGATTCTTGATCATTGTCCCATGGCATAGCGGCAGACATTTCTTGGTGTGTCTTTTCCCCATCCCCAATCTTTAGAGTTCAAGAACCAAAGAGGAGACAGCATCCCTCAGAGATTGAGCTGCTACTCCGAGACTATCAGAGGGCACGAGAGGAGGCCAAGACTGAAATTGCAAGAGCAAGGGACAAACTTCGAGAGAGAGCTGAGCAAGAAAAGAGACGGATACAGGAGCAAATATTTTCTCATCTACAAAGGGTGAGCATTAAATTACTGTAGTTACTGAACCCTTCTGTATGACTCATGTTAATGCAATTTTTTTTATTAAAGTAACAACGATGGTGAATAACCCCAAGGCATATCTTTTTCTTTAACTTTGCCTGTTGAGAAGGTAAAGGTAATAAGGAATAGTGTTGCTAACGTATTTAAAAACAAACAGCTCCATGCTGATTTACTGATGGCGCTGCTAGTGAATACCCTTGTACAATACTGTCATTTTGTTGACAATCAGTATGCCAAGACCCTAAGCTTCCTTCACTGTATGAGAGGATGTCTGTAAGCCATGAGTACTGGTTATTAATGCATGCAGTGACTCTGCTATTACAGGCTTAATGTGGTTGAATTCTATATGACAAAATGAAAAGGAAATATTTCGCCATCTTTTTTAATCTACTTTTCTCTCTCTTTCTCTCTAGTCTGTTGTGTGTATATTTACCCTTTCCCTTTGTTTAGTATTTTGTCACCCTTTGGTCATTTGAGTTTAGTTGAGGTGTTTTGTCTGACTTTGGAATGGTACCATGTTACCTTCAGGTCACTTTGCCCTATTTGTGACCATACTTTTCCTATAGTAACTAATTTGTCACTTCTTATGAACAGAACCTGCAGTAACCCTCTTAGACATTCCCCAGAGTCCAGTATGGACCACTGAACAGTTGTGTCACCTTAACGCTCTAATCTGGGATGCCTTTACACTTCTTTAGTGTCAGGACAGCCACTTCTGACCTGCTTACACAGCCTTTAGCACAGAAATTCATTGCCAGCTAAACTCATGAGTGAATTACCTACAGGGCAGCATCTGCAAGCTCTCTAGTCCCAGCCTTGTTCCCCCAAAAATGTGTGTCTGGTACTGTCCAGCACATAACTGAACAATGCAAGCTTATATAAAGTCTGTCATTTCAGGAAAGGAAACAATATATGCACCAGCCTTGTTATCCCAAGTGGAGTTTCTCGCATACTGGTTATGATAAAACAATAAGTTTATTAAGTACAGAAAGAGAGATTTGTAAGTGGTTGCAAGTGATGATGCATAAAAGTCCAGATGGGTTACAAAAGAAAATAAGAGTAATATTCAAGCTAATGCCTAATTTAACAAGCAGAGGTTTTGTTTCACCATACACTGTTGTAAATTTCATAGTCTGGTTCTCTTTTCAGCCTAGGACCACTCCCCTCTCAGTTCAGTTCCTAGAGAGTCACTGATGCCATGAAGAAATGTAAATTTCTTGTTTACAAGAAGTGAAAAATACTGCACATACACAAGAAAAATCAAACACTCAGCTACAAAACGAAATAACTGGTTAGGTGGTAATACTGCTGAAGAAAATCTGGGGGTTATAGTAGATCACAAATATTCAATTTCACAAAGTGAAAACAAGTCAATAATATGATGCTATTGTGAAAAGGGCCAATATCATTCTGGGTATATTAACAAGTGTTTTATTTTAAGACACACGCTGTAACTGTCCCGCTGTGCTCAGCACTGGTCAGGCCTCAGCTGAACTGTTTTGTCCCATTTTGGGCCCCATACCATAAGAAAGATGTGGGCAAGCTGGAGAGAATCCAAAAAGGAACAAAAATGATGAAAGGTTTAGAAAACCTGTCCTGTGAGGAAAAGTTAAAAAACTGGGCATGTTTAGTCTTGAGAAGACTAGGGTGGGGAACCGGACAACAATCTTTAAATACATAAAGGGCTGTTTATAAAAGAGGACTGTGATCCATTGTTCTCCATGTCCACTGAAGGTAGAACAAGAATGGGCTTAATCTGCGGCAAGGGAGATTTGGGTTAAATATTAGGACAAACTTTTGTTACTTTGTTAGTTAAGCACTGCCAATGTGTGTGTGGGGGGGTCTCAAACATTGGCACACCTCCCCCCTCCTATTCTCAGCCTGTGGCATGTAACAGTCCAGCTTCCAGAGGGCTGTAATACTGTGCTCTCATTTAAGTTATTGAATTTAGCATGAGGGTGCTGGATGGAATTCTTGGCTGATAAAGCACAGTTCAGACTCGATGATCTAGTGGTCCCTTCTGGCCTGAAACTCTGTGTCACTAGAATAAGATTCCAAAGGATGCTGTTGAATCCCTCAAAGGTTTTTTAAGAATAGGCTAGACAGACATCACTTGTGTTGGGGTTTGGACTTAATGACCTCTTGAAGTCTCTTCCAGCCCTGCATGTCTATGGTTATTAGGGAAATTGTTAATACTAGGGAGTGGTGGTATTTTTTGTAATGTGAATAGCTCAGCCATGGGAAATTGGTTTCATTTGGCAGAGCTACTGTACTCATTTATTTGGCTAGGTGCTATTGACAGTAGACAACTCCTGCTGTCTAGTATGTTCATAATAATGTGGCATCCTTTACAGGAAGAAGCGAAGCTGAAGACACTTGTAAGCACAAGCACTTTATGTACAGATTCCAGCCTCAGTCTTTCCTCTGGCCCAACATCTGGTTATAACAGCAGCAGTGCTGCTACTTATGTTGCAAGTAAGCTCAGCAAACAGGAATCACTGGTAAGAGCAGGTCACTGAAAACCTGTGAGCAACTGTAATGCCTTTCTGACTTTTGGGTGATCAGAGGGATGTAGTAGCAGGCTTTATTTCAGGCAAGGTTGATGGTTCATCAGGGCTCTCAAAGTCCAAGTATGTGTTATTGATAACTGCAGGTCACCATGTTATAACTGCAAGGGGAGATGACTAAAATGATAGTCCTCACTTCTTTAATATGAACCAAGCTTTGTATGACTTGTTTCAAGATAGTGCATTACTGTTAATGACACCACTATAACAATTTTACTAGCTAAAAGTTTAGTGACCAGAGCTTTCTCTGTTTTCCATAAACTTACTACGTAGATATCAGCTTTGTAAAGAAGGTTTCAGGATATAATCATGGTATTAAATTACCTAATCAAACTTCTTTCCTTAGTCTTCAGTGTGAAATATTTTTGCCCTCTTTTGCATTACAGATTTCTCCTGGAAGTGCAGAACTCCCAAGAGGAGATACAAGAGGTCGCTCAGCTATTAGAAATAGTCAACTTTATGTGTTAGAGCACCTACAAACAAATAAGAATTGTGGTAAGTGGGGGGGGGGACTTAAATTGGGGCCCACATCATAAATCTGTGTAGATTTATAATCTACGCAATCATCCAAATTTGATTTGATTCTAGATTTTTGAATGTATCTTGTTACTATGCATCTTCCAAAAAAAAAAAAAAACACCAACCCCAAAAAAAACCAACCTTGACTACCAATGTCCAGAGTCCAAAATAGAATGCATTGAAAACCAAATTGTGGTGTATTATTTCCTTCTCTGTAGAAGTTAGGAGCTCCAGTCATGGAACAGAATCTCATTTTGTTAGGCATTATACAACAGAGGTTCATAGGAGTCAATTCCTATGTTAGTACTTTGATGGAGGTAATAAAGCAATGTATTCAAACCAGAGGAGCGGAGTATAAATGCCGTCAAACAAAGTTTGCACTAGATTTTCAAGTGTAGGTTTGCAAATTGCATTATACACACAAACACTGACTTGTGTGCACTGTTCTTTTGCTAATATGTATGTAGTAAAACCCTTTAAACTGTACTGCAACTTAATTATGAGTAGATGGTCTTCTATAGATAGTCATGTTGCTTAACGTATTACTGTGAGGTATTTGGGTACCACAATGATGAAGATATACATATAGTAGCCTGAGTAGAATATTTTTTCCTCTCAAAGATTTCTCCTCTAACTTCTTCATCCTCTACAGAGAGCAGTAGCGTTCAGATGCCATTTCCATGTGCTAGCATCAGCCATAGATTCACTCATGGACGAACTCTTTCAGTCCATTCTTCTCCTACAAAAGAATACCAGGATTTGTCCAGACGTGTTTTGGCTAATGCTACCACAGAGGTGAGTAAATGAGCAGTCATTTTTTATTTCTATTTCCCCTAATAGAGCTTGCAGCAGGCTTCCCAGAACACACAGTTAGGAACATCTGTGGCTCCAAGTTTGCAGTCACAGAGAACATCAGCTGTGCTCGAAGTGGAGATCATTGTATACTATCTAGGCAACGGGGAGTTATGGCCTTTCTCCTGTGGAGTGACTGGATGTACTCACACAATTCATACATAAAGGCTGTGTCTAGACTGGCCAGTTTTTCCAGAAAATCAGCCTCTTTTCCGGAAAAACTTGCCAGCTGTCTACACTGGCCGCTTGAATTTCCGCAAAAGCATTGACTTCCTACTGTAAGAAATCAGTGCTTTTTGCGGAAATACTATCCTGCTCCTGTTCGGGCAAGTCGCTTTTGCGCAAAACTTTTGCACAAAAGGGCCAAGGTAGATGGCTGAGATTTGTTTTGCGCAAAAAAGCCCCGATCGCGAAAATGGCTATCAGGGCTTTTTTGCGCAAAAGCGCATCTAGATTGGCACAGACGCTTTTCCGCAAAAAGTGCTTTTGCGGGAAAGCGTCCTTGCCCATCTAGATGCTGTTTTCCGAAAATGCTTTTAATGGAAAACTTTTCCGTTAAAAGCATTTCCAGAAAATCATGCCAGTTGAGATGTAGCCAAACAGTTAGGACTTGCTCTTCAGCCTGGCTGAAGCAAACTGCTGTGTTGCAAGACAGGTGAACACAATATCTAGATCACACAACTCTCCCTTGATTATATCTCTGAATTGTTATTTTTAAGGTGATGGCAGCTTGTTCAAATAATTTGAGGAGCCTTTACAACTGCCAGGCAGCAGCAGGTTGGAAGTAAGTATATGTCAGAATTTTTGGGGGGATGGTACTTGAACACACTTCTTTGTTGGTGTTAGTGCAAATATCTGGAGCTTGTTTTTTTTCCTTTAGATACCAGTGTACAGAAAAAGAGGTACAGGTTTATTACAAAGTCTTTCCATCAGCAACTAAGCATGGGTTTTTGGGAGCTGGAGTGATTGAAAGACCTCTTCCCAATGTGTGGTGCATAGTGAAAGACCCTGACAAAAGGCATCTTTATGACAAAACCATTAATACATCTCGAGTACACAAGAAAGTAACGAGCCATATTCAACTGGGTGAGTTATCAGCTGGGATTGCTCTAGGTAAGGGGAATTTTGTCAACTGGTTCATAGCTGTCATCATCCCCTACAGAAAAACAGAACTTCAGTGAAAATCTGCTTCATAAACTAAACATATGAAGTGATATGCTTTGGTAAATAGTCACTTTAATAATGTGTATATATAGGTCCAGATCTTCAGATGATGCCAATTTGATTCAGAGACCCAGGATCTTTTGATTACACCTCTAAGAGACCACAGAAGCTCAAACACTCTTAATAAAGGCAAGATTCACCCTTAGCTCAGACACAATGAGGAATGCCAAAGCCTAGATGTTACTTTAGAATATTACTTGTGTTTTAAAAATTCATCTTATTGTCAGTATGCCCCAAAGATTCAGTATTTTATTGGCTCAATGTCATCTACTAGCTTCTGTAGAAACAATAAGCTACAACAATGCATATTGCCACCTCTAGCATGCCTGGCTTTTGTCAGAGAAAATAGACATTGGCAGGAAAGCATAAATCTGTAACAAAAGGCTTATTAAATAGCTGATTTTTGACTCCTTACAGTTTAGCAGCATTGACTTCTTAAGCAGATGGCTTTCCCCTCATAGTTCTAATCCACAGCTGTCTCAACATTTGTTGGATAGAGTTCCGAACTCAAGTCACCAGTGGCAGGAACTGTAGAGATGGGGTGCAATGGGCTGGCTTTTTTCAGCTTGGACAAGTTAATATACAGCCATTTATAAATCTTTAAGGCATTGGAGAATTGCGTAGACAAGGAGTAAGTTTCTTCTAAAAACATTCAGAAGCAGATAGCCACTGTGGTTGCTGTAATGTGATTTTTCCCCCTCTTCCCTCCAATTTCTTACAGTATATTTGGTGAGTGAAACTTCATTGTGTTACCTAAAGCAACCACGGGATTTCTGCTGCATCACGGTGGAGGCCAAAGAGGTAAATTTATCAGTACTTGCTAAGATGCAGCCTAATATAAATTGTTTAAGATTACTGTTCATGAAAATGATTGAGTATGGGGAAAGAAGGCCCACAGTTGCACACCATAATGAATTACAGGGGAAGAGATATTTACCTGTGCTTTTGGAGTCCTTATTGGTGTTGGGAGTTCAGATGCTGACCCTCACATTCTAACCTGATTCCTTATATTGCGAGATATAACATAGAAAATAAAATGCTCTGTACTCAACATGAGGCCCATGGTCTGTTTTTTTGTTTTAGCTCCCACCTGTGGGTGCAACCAGAATAGTCTATATAATGGTCTTCTGGTGATGCGTTTTAGTAGTTAAATTTCTGGACTGCCATTGCTCATTAAAAGTCTTCTCAAAATTTTATAATTCTGTTAAAAGAGCAGGGATTGTGGAATAATCCAGCATAGGGAGCTTCTCAAAAATTTATAATTCTGTTAAAGGAGCAGGGATTGTGGAATAATCCAGCATAGGGAGGATGCTACAGCAAAGATGCAAGCGATAGTACTGTAATTCAAAAAGCTTCAGTATTCACACCTGAATGTAATACATCAGTAAAGAGAGCAGTGTATCTAGCTGGATATACAGCAGATTTTCTCTAAACACATTTCAAGTGATGAATGCCTGAAAAAAATCACCCTGAAACCATTAAAATACGTAAATTAAAAACATGTAATATTTCAACAATTCCAAGGTTAGAAGGGATCATTGTGAGTGATTATGGTCCAGCTGCTCCATATCCTGTCTCAGGAATTTATTGAATTTCAGGTTATTTAGTTAAAGCATTGACTTTAGCTATTTTGACTAATAAAATTTAAGGCAGCTTAAGTTTATACGATGCTGTTTATAAACTTAAATGAATGAAACTTAATACAGGGTATTTTATCAATTATAAAATAATTTGTAAACAAGCCCTCAGTATGCATACACGCTTTCCTTCAAGCTAACTTTTCACTGCATGTAAGCTGTTTCCTGTTGTGCTGTACTGATTTATTATATGTCAGTGGGGTTGGAAAAAAACCAGACTTACTTAGAAGCCTAGAAGTAATTAAGTATAACTGCTTAGTGAAGTATGAAATAAATTGTTTAAGTCCTCCACAGGTTTTCACAATCCAGCCCCTTATTCTAACGATACCCCCCCAGCATCCACTTAGGAAGAATGAAAAAAGTCAAATCTTTTGCAAGAGGAACTGGTATCTAAATTATAGTGTTGCTCATTTTGAGAGTTTGCAATAGCTGATCTCTTCATCTAAGTTCAAAGTGAAACCTTGTTTTTCATATACATAAAAATACAAATTTTTGTTTAAAGAAAAAGGCTGATTTCTAAAATAGCTTCAAGGGATGCTATGGTTGAAACTGTTACTGTACTTTTATCTACATTTTTGCTGTTACCAGTAGATGATATGGATAAGAACTAGATTCAGCAGCTAGGCCCCAAGTGCTTTCAGATTGTGGGAAGTAAGTTGCTGAAACTGTCAGAGAGCTTACTGGATTCTTACAAAGCTGCAGGACACCCATGATATTACTGTATGAGTCCTATAGAAAATGATGTACCTTTTTGATGTCAGCTTGTGTTTGTAATTGGGACATTTGAGGAGTCCCTTTCATCAGCAATACCTTTGTTTCTGCTTATCACAAGTTATTCCCCATTTCAGAAAGTCTGGTGATGGTCTAGGGGAAAAAAAGACCATCACAACATCAATAGAAACAAAAGGGTGTTTTTAAAATCTAGTCTAGATAATACCCTGGCTTTCATCTTGCTTTGACATGTATGAATGGAAATTCTCTCGTCTGTATAACGAAGTCCAGGATGCACAGCTGATTTGGTGTTGCACATTTTTATTTGCCTACATTTCAGCTGCAGGAGACTCAAGACATTTATAAGCAACTGGTAGAGGCTAATCAGACATTGGCTTTCTTGTCCATATTTCTCCTCTGCTTTCACATTGTATAAAAAACTTGTTTGAGAGTAGTAATCAAGTGTTAAAGGTAAATATTATTGATACCCGAGGATAGGTGATTTTTTTTTTTATAGTGCTGGTGTAGCAACTGTGCCTAACATTGAGGCTATCTCTAGACTGGCATGATTTTCTGCAAATGCTTTTAGCGGAAAAGAGAAATGTAGCACTGATTTTTTCTTTATAGTGCTGGTGTGGCAACTGTGCCTAACATTGAGGCTATGTCTAGACTGGCATGATTTTCTGCAAATGCTTTTAGCGGAAAAGAGCCTCGAGATTGGCACGGACACTTTTCCACAAAAGCACTTTGTGCGGAAAAGCGTCCATGCCAATCTAGACGTGCTTTTGCGCAAGAAAGCCCCGATCGCCATTTTCGCAATCGGGGCTTTTTTGCGCAAAACAATACTATGTTGTCTACAATGGCCCTCTTGCGCAAAAGCATTTGTGCAAGAGAGCTGTTGCCCGAACAGGGGCAGCATAGTATTTCTGCAAGACCACTGACCATCTTACATGAGATAGTCAGTGTCATGATTATGAGGGTTAGCCAGCAGCCTGGGGATTAAGGGGTTAACTACACCTAGCCAGGTGGAGTGACCAGTAGGAATGTAGGAGGGAGTTTCAACCTGGGACAAAGGAATTTGGGTTTTTTCCTTTCTCCTTTTTTGTCTCTCTGGGGGAGTTCTCTGCAGCTACAGAGAGGGACAAGCATGTCTCTCTCTCTCTCCAAGACACCATTCTTCATTTTCTGTAAGTAGGGTAAAGTTTAGGCAGTTTCGTTAGGTTTTATTGTTTTAAGGATTGGGTATGGGATCTGAGATCTGGCACTGTTTAAAAGATGTTTTGGCTTTTCTTTGTAACTAAGTTCTAGGCCCATGGAGTTTCTCCATGAGTATATTTTGTTACCTCCCTATCTAGTCATTATGGTTGCAACAGGAATATTGTTGTAATAATAAAAGTTCTTTCTTTTCTTTTTATTAACCTGGCAGTGGTTAATTGTGTGCCTTGATTTTTATTTTAGGGGTAAGATTTCCCAAATGATCTTTCCCCTGATTTCTTTATCAACATTTGGGAGGTGGCAGCGGAAGTTTTATTCCCAAGATCTAGGTTTTTAAGATCTTGGGGGAATTTTTATACCCAAGCCTGGTAGATAAGGCTTTGGGGTACACTTGCTGGCCCCCACTTCTGCATTTATCATGCCAGAGTGGGGAAGGAGCCATGACAGTCAGTGTTCTTGCGGAAATTCAAGCAACCAGTGTAGACAGTTGGCAAGATTTCTGGAAAAATGGCTGCTTTTGCAGAAAAACTTGCCATTCTACATGCAGCCTGTGAGTTTAACCTACTTTGAATCACCTACAATAAACTAATGCTACCTGATGGTGTAAACAGATTGTCACTTTTCTTCCCTATAGCCAGAGGGAGGGAATCCCATCACAAGGTAACAGGACAAAACCTCAGAGCATTTTTTGTTAAATGGGCATGAGTTGACGAAGGCATTTACCTTTTGCTCAGGTCTAATACATAGCAGCAGCATTTCAGACCAGAATTTGTCTCAGGTCCTGTGTAACTCATTGTTCCTCAAAAGTTTGCAAGCTTCATTTCCTCCGCTCTAAATAAAATTTTTGGCTCTCTTTCCATCTGCAGGAAAACTTGTCAATTTTAGCTATTCAGTCAGTCTATGACGAGTCCATGCCTCGTCCTTGTAAAGAAGTAGTACGAGGGGAGATTCTGCCAAGTGCTTGGATATTGGAACCTGATCAAGTAAATGGAAAAGACATCACTCGAGTCATTTATATGGCACAGGTGAGAGAGTCCATACAAATGTTTTCATTCAGTTACATTCACTTCTCTATGGATTAGTATAAGCACTTTCTGATGTCACCTAATTAACATTAGTCCCAGTAAACTAGCATGAGTACTTTGCAAGTGTTCTTATAACTGACATTTTAAAATCATACTAAGTTCAATTACTAAGCTCATGTTTGCTACCACAGCAGACTTAAGTTCCAGTCTACATCTTAGAACAGCATTTAAGGTAGTATAGAAACAACCTTGTTACATCATAGCAGGCAGACCCCTTTATTGATATTACAGCATCTAAAGACTGGTTTACACATGATATGGTATACATGACAGTGTCTTAACTATAGATTTTGCTCATTACATCTCTTAGCACACCTACTTGCAATGTATTCCGCTCCAGTAAGTTCCACCTGTCTGAAGTTAGAAAAGTAATGGCTTCTAGTAAGTCCCAGAAGCCAAGGTTATAGTTTCCACTCTGTGTCAGTCATTCCAGCTGTAAAACAGGTGTAATAATTATCCTTCTACCACCTAGGTATGTAACAGCTTTGAGAGCCTTTTGTAAAGGTGATTTTATATGCAAACTAGAATTTGTGTGGCTCTGCAACTGAAAGTAAACAATCTCAGTAATAGTTCTATGTATTATCTTGTATTATCAAACAGAATGAGATTGAGGTCTTGCATAATGGCATTGTATTATTTTCAGAGTATGGTGTTCATTTCAGCCCGTAGCTCAAGCAGAAAAGGGACCAGAGACAGGTGATGAAAGTGGGTACAGCAGAGACAATGTAATGGCATTGCTGAGAGGTGACAAATTAGAGGGGTCACTGTAGAAGGTTTACAAATTAGTGAAGATAAAATTAGCTTCCACCATTTGAGATAACACAAGAGCAAGGGGGCAATAAATGAAGCTGACATAACAAATGTAAACGTGATCCAGTGAAATGGAAAATCATCATAGTCCTCCCTTTCCATTCTTACAACAAAGAACTCCAGCTAATTAGTATTATTAAGCCAGCTACAAGGAATCAAAGATCTCCAAAACTCAATCCTCTGTTGCCAAGTTGAGTGAGAAACAAATCAGGGAGTATTTGAGACACAACAGGATACTTATTTTAAAGAACTGTGGTACAGGAATCTTATGCTCTTAGAATCCAGACTAAGCCCGTTATTTCACCTGTATGTTAAAAAGTAAAAGGGTAGAACATTACTACACAGTACTATTCTAAGAGATAAAATAGAATGTAATGAAGCTTTTTTTCTATTTAAAAGGATTTTTCACCCCCATTTTCCAATTGGCTGCTCTATTGTATAATACTCAAATATTTTAATATAAAATCACTGTACCATATAGTTTCAATGAGTGAGGGCTTCAGTTTGTAGAGTATAGTAAAATACAATACACTTACATTTGCATAGTTTGTCAGAGCAGCTTGTTCTCATGAAGTTGGCGCTAACTGATTAAGCTACTAAAATCACAAGCTGTAAATCAAACCACAAATTACACTTGCTCAGATGGTACCTAAACACTGTAATTGATAAAGTTGACTGGCTCTTATATATCACCAGTATGAGTAGGCAGACAACTTTAGTGGTATGACTGAATCTGACGCTAAACACTTTACCTTTGTTTGCACTTAACTTGCTTATTTCTTACAAGCTGCCACAGGTGTAACAACCTGTGTTTATACTCTTAAGACTATTTCCAATGGCTAAATAGTGTGACTTGAGAGGACTCACAAAAACCCTTCTATTCTAATTTCTCCAGGTCGATCTTGGCGCTCCAGCTATCCCTCCAAGGCTTCTGAGCTCCATTGCTAAGCGACAGCCTCTGGTGATTGCTAGGCTAGCACATTTTTTTGCTAGTTAACAATAGCTGGCACAAAACCAGATATGTTGTTACAGTGGGAGAAAGCAACTAAATACCAGGAAACAAATATGAAATTATTTATCCTCCTCTCAGAGAGTAAAATTAGGCTTCAGAAATATTTTCAGTCATGCCCCACTTCAGAACTGGATGTGAAAAGCCACAGGCTACCCAGGCATGTGCAAAGCTACTCCTGAAACACACCAAGGGAAGATCATCAGCTCCAAGAATTACTGTTCAAAAAGGAAGTGTTCCTGATGTACCTGCCCTTGCTGGTCAGTACTTGGAAGTGCTGCCTGTAGAAAAACTGTCAGCAAAAACAGAAAGCCTTCACCTTGGAAATAGTCACCATCTATCTGGTTGGCTGCAAAATGCCAGTTAAACCATTTCAAAAGGTAATCTTTTCTTCCAAGATGAGAGAGTGTATCATGGCCAGCAGCCTTGTACAAGCCCTTACACAGAGAAACAAAACTAGTGTAATGCTCCTTGTAGCGTCTAACAAAGATGCTTACGGATGGAGACTTCATTATAAACATTGTACATAAAGCCAGCTTTCCCATCTGCACAAGTTCTTTCATCTTGGCAGGGTTAAAATGTTATCAGCATGATCAACCAGTCACTCTACACCAGATTGAACGAAGACTTCCATCTAGTAGATCAGACTGCCACTATCCAACAAAAGTGGCAAAAAAAAACCAACCACACCTCAGGAGACTCAATTTATTATTGCTCTACTACACAACACTGCAATGCAGAATTAGGTGCTTTGAAGTGGAGAAACCAAACTGTCAGTTTTAAAGCAAGATTTTTTTTCAAAAGGAGTAGAACTGACCATTCAAGTTGTTTCTAGAATTAAAATCCTGCAAACATGAAATGTTTAGATATTGTCCTGATAGCTGTTCCATTGTTTCCATGCTCTCTCACCTATATCATTCTCTAGCCTGGGACAGTTGCTAAGATCCAAAGCCCCTCCTGTTCATAGTTACCTTGCAGCATTCCAAATGAGCTCACAAGTAGGAGAAAAACCTCCAACTGTGTTTTGTCTGGAACTCTAGCTTTAAAGCTTTATATACAGAAAACCCTCTTGTAAGTGTGTGTCATGGTCATGATATCCTTTTAAAAATAAGTAAGGAGCTACATTTCATTCATCTGTATTTTGAGTAAAACTCTTCAACACTGCTATAGCAGAGGGCCACTTACATTAGTGAGCAGATGGCCAAAGATAAGGCATCTTTTTTTTGCTTGAAAGAGGTAAAGCTCAATATTGTTCAAAGTAGTACTGCACTTTAAATGTGATGAATGGGTATCTATATCAAGTATTAACTTTAGCAAAAGGCTGCATCGCTTATCATGGCAACTAAGAAAAATCAGCCATGTTTTTTTCCCTAGAACAAGTCCAATGCACCTTTAGAATTAGAACTAAAGTCTGCCTTGAGGTTACCTGTGTAATCTACTTACTTCTGAAGTTGCACACACATACCTACAGTGGGCAGAATAAATCCTAGTAAACTAAACATCTGTCTCAAACAGTTCAGAGAAGTTACGTAAAATACTGATTTCTCCGCACCTACTCAACATACATCACTGCTGTTGAGTTTATTTCATTAAACATCACCCATCTGCCAGAGAAAACAAGTAACAGAAATAGGTTTCAGCCACATGCCATGCTCCCCAAGCTACACTATTTAAAGGGTAACAACCAATATCCATCTTCCTAATAAAAAAAAGCCAGTGCATGGACTTGTTAATTGGTGTGGACTTCGTAAAGTGCACAAAGCAGAATTTTTCCTGGCTGTAAGTGTCCCAGAACTCAGCAGTAAATGCCACATTGCAATTGGGGAAGTACCAATAAGCTATTTTATGGGAGCTCTACAAGGAAAGGTATGAAATCTTCACGTAACCCATCAAATATTTTCTGCATAATTGAAGGTTTGTTTGTTTGTTTTTCTTTATTTTGGACATGGCACTCCGTTAATGACAAAGCAGTTTTTTTCAGGAACAACATCTAGAAAGACTCAAGGAGGTCATAATGACAGTGCCTAATGAAGGATAATGTCTTATTGTACAGGGCATCAGATGTTTATTTTTATAAATGCATATGATTTTTCTATGTTTACAAATTAAGTTATTTATATATATGCTTGTTTTGAAGTTTTTTATATGCTGATGAAGCTAATTTTTATTTTTAATGGTACCCAATTAATAAGCTTTTTTAATAATTGTCAATTGATACTAAATAGCCCTATTTATACAAATGTTTCCTTTTGCAAATATAACATTTTATGCTACTGTTAATGTGTGGGATTGGTTTGTTTAGAAGGTGGGGAAAAAAGCTAGTTCATGTATTTGTTACCAAGACTAGGTGAAAACTTCCTGTCAATATTTTACTACCATAGCAGTAGATTTTGATGATGGCGAATCAAACCAATCATACTGTACCATCTCTTATCCCATCTTGCTTGCAACAAGGATTGCTATTTTCATATTCACAATAAATGGCATTTTCTAACCCAAAAAAAAAAAAAAAAAAAAAAAGAAAACACCCCAAGCGACATTCATTGTCTCAGCTCGCATGTTATAACCCTACTCAGCAAGACATTTTTAGCCCCTCTATGGTCATTAAAAACAATTCAGTTTAAGCTTTTTGGTTTATTTCCTAAAATATATTATTTTATGGTAAAAGTAGTTCTTCTATAGGCCTTCCATAAAATAACCTCTAAATGAAAAATTACAGAAGTTAAACTAATCTAAACCTCTACACAAAATGCAAATAGCAACAGACATTTGCAGTTCCTTCACATTGTGTGTGCATAGATAGCTTTTTCCATGCAATTCAATGCCTAGCTCTAATTTTGAGATACTGAAATCAGGACTATAACACTGAGTCTTATTCAAACTTCAAGATGTCCTGTAGGGGAGGGGCAGGCAAACTTTTTGGCCCAAGGCCTACATCAGGATATGGAAATTGTATGGCAGGCCATGAATGCTCACAAAATTGGGGCTGCAGTGGGAGGAAGGGCTCTGACTAGGGTGGGGCTAGCGATGAGGGATTTGGAGGATGAGAGGGGGCTTCAGCTCGGGTATAGGTGCCATGCTACACTTACCTCCTCAAGCAGCTCCTGGAAGCAGAGGCATGTCCCTCTTCTGGCCAGGGGGCCCCTGCAGATTATTGGTTATAGTTCCCAGCCAAAGGAAGCTCAAAGGAGGCTGCATGGGTTCCTCCCAAACAAATGAGACTAAGAGAAGCACACTTCCCCTCCCCTCACTATCTCACCCCAAAGGTTTTCACTTAAATTGAACACACACAAAGTAGAATGCCTTACCAGTCACCCCACACACCTCACTGGGAACCAGCTGTACACAATCAGGCAGCACCAGAGACAAAAAAAATACAATACCATCTTAAAGGTAAACCACTAAAAAGCTTTTCCCTTAAAAAAATGTGATAAGGGAACAGTTTCTGTTCTTGCTGCCTTAATCATCTCAATTTAAATAAATTTACTATCCAAAAGAAAAATGTTTCAAGTTGATGTTCAGCTGAAAACTTTTAAAAGTGTGTCAGAGCTGCAATCAGCCTCCATTCCTGAGGTGTTTTATAACTCAGATTCTATTACAGCAATTAACAAGATGAGGGCCCTACTTTGCCTATTGAATATAATGTTGAATTTGCTAATTTATTTAATCTTAAAGTATGGAATAGTGATAGAAATGTAGCCGTGTTAGTCTGGTGTAGCTGAAACAAAATACAGGACTATGTAGCACTTTAAAGACTAACAAGATGGTTTATGAGATGATGAGCTTTCGTGGGTCAGACCCACTTCCTCAGATCAAATAGTGGAAGAAAATAGTCACAACCATATAATATGGGTCTGGCCCATGAAAGCTCATCATCTAATAAACCATCTTGTTAGTGCTACATAGTCCTGTATTTTGTTAAAGTATGGAAGAACTAGATTTACTTCAGAGACGAAAGAGAAAATGGAAAGTCTGTTACCTGCTTATTTCTTTTCTTGGCCTGGCCAGAGATCATTAGGTTGTGCCTTTCTTCCTGCAATTCAACTTTTTCATAGGGCTTGGCCTATCCTTTATGGGAATACTTCTTACTACATAAATTCCTGAAAAATAATATGCAAGATAAGTATAATACCTACATAAACAAACTCTCAGGAGGTCGTGGTATAGATATCTAAAGCACTCATCTTGGACTGAGAGGGTAAAATCAGTCCCAGGGGGAAAAACAAAACAAAAAAATACACAGACCTTCTTCACAGGGAAGTAGAACATGAAGAAATACGGGAGGAAATGCATAAGTGAGAAATTTGCCCCTTCTCTATAATGAACAGAACTTATTGATTGTGGTCATGGTGATTGTTGGGATTGAGAGGGGACCCTCACATGGAGAAGGTGGTAATGGACATATAAAATCCCTTAAAATAGGGGAGTTGCAGGAAGTCCCTGAAATAGAAGGAATAAGTGATGGCACACGGTGCAAGGAGTTCCTGATATGTGGAATAAACTCATCTACACAAGACGTGAGCGACATCCAAGTACATAGTTTTCACAGACTAAACATGCATCATCATGCTTTCAGATGTTTTGAGCAAAATTAAGGAACAATTAACATGTTTGTGTAGTTTCATTGCCCCTTCTGGCTGACAAACACCTGCTTCCTGTTGACAAGTGTAACAGAACATAAATAAATGATCAGATCAAGTCATGACAATCTGCAGTACTATGGGCAAATATCAGGTAGGGGACAAGCCTGACTGAACAGAAGAGCTTCCCAAAGCAACTTGAATATCAATTAGGAAGTCTGGTGTTATAACACTATTTAGCACTGCTGACACAAGATGAGATGGTTGGGAGGCCTTGCACATCAACATGTAGGCTACCCAGAAGACCTGGCTTCTCTTGCACATGATAATTTAGTGGAAAGCCTGTGCAAAGCTATAGAAGCCCTTTAAAGGGATATTCCTTGTTTAGGATTTGCCATTCAAAAGCTGAGGTAAAACTCAGGAAATCTGGGCAAGGAATCTGGAATGACAGGAACACTTTGATCATCTTTTCATAATTCTTCCCAGTAGTGGAAATGAAGAGAATAGCAGAGAAGCTGATATGGCCATCTGAACTCCACATCTAATCCATTGGTCTTTGACGAGTTAAGATTTTCACCTTGGCATTTCACCTGAACATGAATAGGTCCCATCTAGGAAGTGGCCTCGCTCCTTGGATTTTAGCTAGAGCTCTTCTTGGTTTAGCTGCTGACAATTTATCCAACCCACTGCTATGTTCAGCAGTTACATTAGATTAATTGCCCCAATGGAGCCAATGTGACCTGGACTACATAGTCAGACTCCACCTCCTTATGGTGCTTTGCTATTTTAGATATACTATGGTCATTGGGTTCTAGATGTCCAGAAAAGCCAGTGTGCACTCTCTAGAAAACTGATGTTCTGGACCCTAGTTTGGCCTTCAGCATCACCTGCACATGGACTCCCTACCTTGAAAAGCTGGCCTTTGTGTAGCTACTTTCAGGATTTTGGAAGAAGCATTTTTCTAGTCACATGGGGTTCTTGTATCCATTTCTTGTTGAGAATGCCTCAAAGGCCAAGGTCTATCCGGAGAACCTCCAACGGTCTCTATCACATGCAGACACACACACACAGGACTAGCAGGAATAGATGGATTGATGATAGGTACTGAGACATTTTGGTTTCTTGATCTGGTAGTATGTCCTATCACATATCCATGATGATGCCTTGATTAACATGCAGTCTAAGAATGGGTATGAACAAATTCCTAGACTCCTCAGCCCACCTGATAGTTTTATCCATGTCCTGTGAATAAACAGATGGAAGAGTAACATTATGTAATGATAATCGGGATGTAAAATCCAGTTTAATCAGTTAACTAGTTAAACATTATGTTTAACTCAACTGCTTAAACAAGGTGGGGAGGGGGACCTGCAGTGGACGGGCTGCTCCAGCCCCCACTGGTTAACCATAACCAGTAAGCATCACCCAAATAAGGGTGATGCTTACCAATTAACCATTCACTTCCCTAAATGACAGCAGCAATTGCTACACACAAAACACAAACTGCCAATGGCAGGATCTGACAGGATCATGCAGATAAGTCTCTTCCTGGTCCATCAGTACGGAAGGTCTCCTGAAGAGATTAGAGAGAGGACAAACGAGGATGTCCACTTTGTGCATCATCTTCCTTGATCATGCTTTCTGAAGTCTAGGATGCCTTAGTCTCCTAACTTTTCTTACTATGAAGAAAGTAGAGCAGTGCCCTCAACCTTTTTCCTTCTGACGAACAGGTTTTATCATCATTAGCACTAAAAGTAATAAAATTTTCATCAGAAATGGCTTAAGGTTTTTTTATACCAGGAGTTTTGAGAGAGGATGAAGGAAGCTGAGCAGCCTGGCACTAGAGAGCATCCATTCTGCAATGACACTCCTGCTCAGTTGTCTAAGTTGAATTAAATCATCTGTCTAGGAAAGAAGACATGCAGCAGTTTATCTCCATGTGAATGTAGGCTCTGTTGCAGTTATACTGTCTATAAGATGACTTGTGGACTTCCCAGGAAGAATCTTGACAGAACAGATGAGAAAAGTGGAAAAAATTTTTATTGCCCCCAAAGAAGCTTTAAAAATCATGAGGCTACAATGTAAAGGTAGTGGTCTGAATTGACATTGTGTTTCCACCACTTGCAGCAATTGGATGCTATGGAACAGACAAGACCTGGTGCCTGGGGGAGAGCCTCCAGCATTCACAGGAAAAGAAGTGTAGCCCACCAATTTTGGGCCAGGGAAAGCTCAGGATCAAAAACTGATTGTATGTAGCGTTCACAGCAATTCGCCACCCAACACAAGCAGAATGTTTGAAAAGTCAGTGATACACCTGAGTTAGCTGCACCAGAAATATCACTTTTCCAACAAAAGCCTTGCAGAGCATTACAGAATGAGTCAGCTCCCTGGCCTGCTTCTTAGAGATGGACATCCTTGTGTGCTTCAGTTTGCAACCATTAAAAAAAAAGCGCCGATGGCCTAGCTTTTATACACTTACAGTTCAGACATACAACAGGGCTGCATTTTGATAATCTGTTTATTATAGCAAATCTGACAGCTTCACTGAGATCAGTCGTGAAATGGTCCCGTTGTACTGAATCCCCAGAAGGAAGTACATTATAGTACGAGGCACACCTGCTCTTTCAGTTCATACTGCAGCAGTTGTTACTGTCCACACACTTTGTTCACATGCTACGGTACTATTGAATAGTACCATGTGAGTATGACAACAGCAAACAAATAACACTAAGATCAATACCTGGTGTTTGCAGTCTCCTTCAATCCAGCTCCCAACAGTCTTCAAGTAGGTGACAAAACCCAAAACAGATGCCACACATGCATCTTTGCTTCCCTCGTTTTATCTGTGTCTGGTAGACTTTAATAGTAGTCAGATTTATGTAGTTAGTCTGATGTTTAAAAACAATTCAGTTCCTTGACATTGCATTTTATACCCCAAGAATTCTTATCCATACCAGCAAAAGACGGGTTAATAAGCAAAAACCATAGCCATGCAAACAGCCTGGGATTCACCTTGTGTAGCTGTCTGTCTTAGGAAATAGATTTGCTTTCTGAATACCTTGTATTTAGTGCGGAAAAAAGATGCTCCATCAGCCCAACCTGTTCGGCAAAATCTTTCCTTATACAGCAAGGCAAATCCTATGCAAACTCTCTGAAGAGTGATTAATATATTGCTAAAAACCCAGTCCCCAACATAAGGAATACTGTATTTAAGGTACTGAAAATAAGACACCCCTCTTTATTAGCAGTTTCCCATTTAAGGTTGATCCCTGGGGATGAACAGCACTCACCAGCCTGCCATAGCAGTGGGACTGCAGGACCACTTCTTTCCAAACATCCTAGTGATGCTCCTTCATGGGAGTTTTGTTACAATTTCAGTCTAGTTACTCTACTCTGTGCTTATCAAACAAGAGTATTTCTATGTTACAAGCCTCAAAACCAAGGCAATAAGGACTTTAAACATAGTGTGTAACACATACATGGCATTTATACTCACATTACAAAAGCAATGCCTCTTAAAATAGGTCAACTCTCCCCAGTAATAAAAGATAAGCAGACGATCTCCCTCATTTCTATAAAAAACATGAAATACAAGTGCTGCTTTTGTTTAAGTGAGATACAAACATAAGCACACGTCCTTTAAAATATCTGATCCAATGCTCCAAAATACACTGTGATTTTACTTTTAAAACAAGTCTTAAAAATTTTTAAAAAACAAACCTTCAAGCTTGAGCTCAAGGTGAAAAATAAATATCTGTTCATCTTGTTGGGACTTCTTCCCTCTCCAGTTAGCACGGTGTATTTTCTAACAGAGTCCATGAAAATCAACTAAATTAAGAGATGGCACCACAGGAAACCACCAGATCTCTCTCCAGCAATGTGGCAGGTTTTGTGCACTACAACAGATTCCAGGCACCGTTCAGAGCCTCTTGTTGCAGGAGTACGAGATGTGTTTCCATTACAACTGTAGATCATTGGCTGTGAACCACCATAAGATTCTTAAAAAATTTCCAAAGTTAGAGCAACTCTTGGAAACATTTCCATTGGAAGATGTAAACCCCTCCAAACACTGAGGGACGTATGTTCTGTCACATTTTGAGACACTCCTTTGAGGGAAAGTTTGATTCAGTTTTTGCACAAGTGACCCTTCAACACAGTGTGATCCAAGGAAGGGACTTACTGAATGGACTCAGGAGCATTATCAAATTCCACATCTTGAGTTCTTCTCAATTCTCTAATCCACTCAGATACTGTCTGCACTAGCTTTGTGCTGCCACGGTACCTCTTGGTTGTCTTACCAGTTCACAAGGCCTAGTCCTGGGTTCCGCAGCATGATGCTCAGATATAAATATTCTAGAAATCATTTCCAGTTCTTTCAAGAAATCCTGCAAGAAACAATACAAACCAGAGACCATATTTTAAATGCGTGAAACAAGGGATACAAAAGTATTTTCAGAAACAAAGGTGGTATTTCCCAGGCAAATGGATCCAAGTTTTGTGCTGGGAAATTAATACAATGACACAGGCTATTCCACTGAAAACAGTTCAAGCAGAGTGAGAGGGCAGCTGCCATAGTGATAAGATACACAGATTTTGCATACCAAGCCTTCCCTTTGATCCTTGTGCCCATCTTAGTTTATATACTAACCTGGTATTAGCCGCTAAAAATCACTGCCTGATTCTCAGAACTGCTGAGCACCTGCAGTTTCCACTAACTGCAGTGAGATTTATGTTGAGCACCTCAAAAAAATCAGGCCACATTTAGTCAGAAGACTAACTTGAGTCTCTCTCATTTGAAAAGTCCAGCCAGCAGGCAAAATTATCTGGTGCATTCAGAAACAGATCCAGTTTAAGAATCAGGGAACAATCATGTCGACCGACCGACCATATTACCCCATGGAAAAACTCTACATACACAAAAATCTGGGCCTAGGTGTTTGGGGTGGGGAGTGTACAAAAAATTAAAGCTACACTCAAACTGACAGTCTCATATTCAAGCCTGAATATTAAGATAATACAAATACTTACTGAGGGCCAGAGAAGTTCTTGGAGGCTATGCAAGCATCTCTCTATCTCTGCATTTTCCATCAGACCATGCTCAACAAGTCCATGAAGCATAAACAGGAACAAATCCCACTGCAGAATAAACAAGGAATGTCAAGTTCCTCAAAATAGACTATGGCCTGCATCTATTTACTGAATCTATCTACTTTACTTGTACAGGCGGTCCCCGGGTTACATGGATCCGACTTACATCGGATCCCTACTTACAAATGAGGTGAGGCAACCCTGCACTAGCTGCTTCCCCCCAGCAGACCAGGGAGACGCGAAGCTAGCGCCCTCCTCCCCAGCAGATGAGGGAGACACAGAGCGGCTTTTCTCAGCAGACACCTCAGCTTGAGAATAAAGGACTGAGGGAAGTGAGGTGTGGGAGAATAAAACTGAGCTCTGGAGAAATGTTTGGCTAGAGTTTCCCCTACAATATGTACCAGTTCCGACTTACATACAAATTCAACTTAAGAACAAACCTACAGTCCCTATCTTGTACGTAACCCGGGGACTGCCTGTACTGTAAGAACCTTGTACAAGTTATGTTTTGATTTTACTCAAACTTATACTATGGGGAAAAAGCAAAGGTGAAAGGTGGAAGGAAGAACTAAATTCGGTCCCTGAGTTTTTGGGACAAACCACATCTACTATATGATGACAAACATTCTGAATAGCATAAATTTCCCTTGCTGCTCGTCTATTTTACAACAAAACAATCACACCATTTAAATGTGAATGAATGCAAAATAATGCACATTGGAAAATATAAGCCCAACTATATATACAAAATAAATTAGCTAAATTACCACTAAACTAGCTATTACCACTTAACGATTTTGGAGTCATTGTGAAGAGCTTTCTAAAAACATCTGTTTAATGTTCAACAAAAGTAAACGAAACCTAACCATGATAGGAACCACTGGGAGAAGGATAAACAGAAAATCTAATAATGCCACTATATAAATCCATGGTATGCCCATATCTGAAATACTGCATGCAGTTCTCCTTGCTCCAGCTCAGAAAAATATATGTAAGAACTAGAAAAAGTACAGAGATATATAGAACAGCCTCCATATAAGGAGATATAAAGGCTGGGACTGCCCACTTTAGACAACTGTGGCAAGATAGGAGAGAGAGCTATAAAATAATGAATGCTAAAGAAAATGTGAGTAAGAAAGTATTATTTATCCCTTCACAACACACAAAAGAAAGTCAAAGACATGAACAGGCCAAAGGATTAAAACAAACACAAGGAAGTACTTTTCACAATATACGCTATCAAACAGAGAAACTCATTGCCAGGGCATGTTGTGAAAGCCAGAAGTGTACCAGGTTCAAGATAATTTCATAAGTTCATAGAGCACAGGTCCATCTATGGCCATGAGGAATGATAACAGGGATGCAATCCCAGTCTCCCAGAATCTGACTGCTATAAACTGGGACTGGACCACAAGGAATGGATTACATGATAAACTGCCCTGTTATATGCTTCAGAGCATAGACACCAGTCACTGCCTGAAGACACGATACTGGGCAAGATGGACCATTGGTTTGATCCATTCTAACTGTTATGTTGATTTCAGTTGTGGATTCCCAGTTGGAAATAGACTGTTTCTTACCCAACTCTAGGACAGGTTCCTTTCTAATTTTTTAAAAAGCCGATATCCTGGTGTGGAACTAGACAGGAAAATTCTTCTGACCCAAAGTTAACCATTTGCAGTCCTATAATCTCTCAGGTTGATCAGCTATATTGTAATTTGCTCTGGCATTAAACTGAACAAATTCTAGCACCACTTGCGTCTCTTCAATGTCACAGTCTGCCTTCTTGATAACATTAGACACTGCTCTTACTTTTCTGTTGTCATTGAAGAAACTCATTGGCAATTGAGCAGCGAGAGCCAAAACATGCTAGCTTTACATGATCGCAAATCACAGAACTCAGCAGAACTCCAGTGTGTGTATGGCAAGCAGGATTGGGCAGCTTGTTTTGTAGACCTAAGGAAGTCCCACCTCCCATTGCTCGACTTCCGCGAGGTAGCCAACATTCTTTCTGCTGAACATCAGTTGAACAGGAACAGGGATCCAAAAGTCTTCCTTCCAAACAGATAGAAGCGATTTCAGAAGGCCGTAGACAGCATTCTTCTTCCCTCTCTGTCTTTCAGGTCTCTTCTGGCTCTGAGGCTTAAGGCCCTGGATAGGAACACGATCTGAAACTATGGGATGGAGGGGATGGGACCAATACAGTTTATTACTATTACATTTACAGTCATCTTGGTATGTGCAGCACATTGTTAGGTGAGCAGACAAGCTTGGCTAGCGCCAATACAAACACGAAGGTAAAAACACTGGTGAAGAGACAGTGCAGAGCAGCAGTTTCAACGAAGAGGGGGATCAGAATCTGGGATCAGGCAATATTCTGAGCTCTGCACCCATGGCAAAAGAGTCTGCAGACAAGAAACAGAAGTCTATTCTGAAGTAGACTAAAGCTATTCTACTGGCCCACTGCTTTTTAGTCACTCCCACAGAAGCCAATGGTTATTTTAACTGAACAGAACATATAAACAAAAAAGTATGTTTTGTGTTAATAGATCAGTAGATCCTAGATTGTGAGGCTGCTGTATAGTGGATTATACAGCAGCCTCAGTTAATAGTGGATGAACAGTTTATAGTGGATGAACTGTTCCTTTTTAATTATTCTTATTACAGTATTTGTAAATTCAGCTAAATAATGAACCCTAAAAAGCTTCAGATCTTCCCTGTAGTCGCTTGTCATTTTATGAAAAGGCAGAACTGCACTTCCAGCCTCAGAAAAGTGCTTAGCATAAGCTTTACACACATCCAAGGTATAGGAAAGACTGTTCTTTGAAAGGGGAACATTTCAAGAGGAGCCCACTACTCCCTCTGAAGACTGTAGATCGGGGTGGGTAATAATTTTTGATGGAGAGCCATTCCAAGAATTTGGTAAGTGGTCAAGGGTCACACTCATCCATTCTACTAACACAGAAGGTGCAGGGTCTGAGATGGAGATGAGGTACAGGAGAGAACTCAGAGTAGGGGTTTCGGGTGCAGGAAGAGGTGTTCGGTGTGGGAGGAAGTTTGGGTAAAGAACAGGGTTGTGACGTGTGGTAATGGGCTTGAGATGCAGGAGGACTGCAGGAGGTGTGGAAGAGGGATTCCAGAGGGGGTGGTGATTTGGGTTGTGACCTGGAGCAGAGGGTTGGGGTGCAGGGTCTGGTGCAGGTATGGGGGTGCAAAGGGTTTGGATTACATGGGGCAGGGGAGGGGCAAAGAGTTTGGGGGGGGAGGGGAAGAGGACTGAACTGACAGGTGTGCTTTGGCTGGGAGGTACTTATCTAGGTAGCTCCCAGCCACCAGCACAGCAGGTCCCCCCTGCCTTCCACAGCCCCACACACCATTCAGAGCTGCTAGCTGCGGGGGCCATGTGCTTTGCTGAGCACCGCAAGCCAGTGATTCTTCCTGCACTGGGTAGTGCGCAAAGCCCTCTCCCCGGCTATGGCTTGCAGCAGTGCTCAGAGAAGCGCATGGCCTCCACAGCCAGCTGCTGCGTGATGGGTCAGGGCAGGCAGGGAGCTTCCGTAGGCTGGACTGGGTGGCTTGGTGAGCTGAATCCAGCCCACAGGCTATATTTTGCCCATCTCTGCTCTAAATAGCAGAGTGTGGAAGACTGGCCATTAGCTAGAAGTGTGTGAGACATCAATGCAAGTATCAGAGACCACAATCTGACAATTAGCAAGAGGAGAAATCACACTTTGTAGTTAAGCTGCTGCTATGAGACCAAGACAATACTGTGTTGGCTGAATCTACAGAGAGGTCACTGATCCACGTGAAATGAGCTACTGTCTCTCACAAAAGAGGCATGACCACTGGAATCAAGCATTCCATTTAGAAAAATGTTCAACTCCAAGAACCCAGAGACAGGGATCTCAGAGCTCACTGAGTGTCTTAATGTGGGGACCAAGAAATGGGAGGGGGGAGAGTGTGACTGAATTAAATGTGTAGCTGAAGGAGGGTCAGCTCAAAGGAATTATGTTTGAAGGGTTTTAAGAAAGCGATCTCCCAGTCACCCTCTGGGGCTTGCGATGCAACATCTTTGTAGACCCAGTGATATTTTTGTAACGAGACACCCAACAAAACTGAATTAAAAGCAAGGAGACATGGAGGACACTGCGAGATGAAGGAAGAGCAGTCAGCATTAACAATGCACTTACCTAAGAGAGATGCCAACTCTACAGTGCACCTCGCCAGCTGCTGCTCTGAGGTGGGACACATGAACTAAAAAAAACGAAATTGGCATGCCACCATCACAAAATCATCCCAAAACCTAGAGCCTCTGCCTCTGATTTAACAGACAGCAGCTTTGCATTAAAAATTATTAGGAAAGGCATGAGCAGCAACAGCAGGAAGCACAGCACTGCTGGTTCAGGGTCATTAAAGAAGGCCTGGTGAGAAAGATGCAAAATATTGTTCTGCACCAGTTGTCACATACCCACACATCTAAGGCCAGAGAACAAAACGGTGCCCACTGAACCCTAGCACCAGCTCAGACAGGTTCATTACACTAGCAGGTACACAGAAGGCTCAAAAAGCACTGTGTACGTCTTTTCTTTTACCTTTCTGCATCGAAGTGTTTGGCTCAGTCTTTTCAACAGGCACTCCAGCTGGACATAAGGAATTCCTTCATTTTCATCCCGAGGTCCCACTGCAATGCAGAGTACGTCCTAGATGAAAAGAAGCAGAGAAATGGTATCCAAAGGCAGGCACCTAAATCTATATTTAAGCATATAAGTGGCCTGACTTTTGCTTGTAAGCTCTCATTGATATTAATAAGGGCCACAGCTCTTCACTGCTATTGCAAATCACATCACTAATTTAGGCACCCAAATTTGAAAGTTTTTGTCTAAATGATTTGCCAAAAATCAGTCAGTCGCACAGCTGACAGTAGAACCCAAGTCTTCTGACTCCAAACTGAACTTCTTGATTGTGCCTCAATCATCTTCAGCCTCACTATAAGGCTCAACCTCATTACAAAAAGTGCTATATTACACTCAAAACAAATAATGTAGCAGAACTCTCTGGTTCTTTGAATGTTTCCTGATGCTGTGCAAGGTTAACATCTAGCATTACCAGTGTCTTACCAACCTGTACCAGTATACTTGAAGGACAACTATGGGCACAACTCCAATTAGAAGCCTTGGAAACAACTATTTTAGAATTTCAAAAGGATTGTATCCGCTCTAATTACTCTAAATCAAAGCTTTGCAAAAAGCATGGTTTTACAAAAAAATTAAGATCTTCATAAAACTGAGTTTTTTTTTTAAAGGGTTTCTACTGGAATTACAAAAAAAAAAAAAAAAAGGAAACCATATTCTGCTTCAGTTTTTGCAACCAAAGCACTGGAAACAGTGGCCTAGTATATGTGAAACTGATCTCAATATGACTATAGCTAGTCAACTTTCATTACCCAGATAAACAGAAATTAACTCAGTGAAACAAGCATAGCAAATAGTGAAAAGCAGATGAGATTATGAATTATTCGATCATTTAATGTCAACTGATAACAGGACAGTTCAGAGTTTTTTATTATAAGAGAACAATTTCCATGTACACCTGATACAGGGGAAGGTAGGAAGGTATTTTACATCAGTTCTAATAGGAAGGGAATCTGGAAAAAACCACTAAAGCCGTCCCACTACTTCCTTCTTTCTCTAGAACTTCAAATTGCTCCTAAGTCCAATTAAGTGAAGAGGGGAAGGCAGACAGGCAAATGCCTTTCCATAGATTTGTCCTGATGTAGCTGTCTGGAACCCAGCACAGTTCTGTTGGTGCATAAGAGATCAGAATCCAGCTAGCTCTGCAAGGCTGATAGGGATAAAAACCTGGACCTACTTAGTTCCTGAATTCAGTAGAGCTCACTCAAAAACAGAGGGAGCAGATCTGCAGAGTAAGGAGGAGCCATTTTGATATGGTCACTTCAGAGCAGAGGTGCACAGAGCTCACGGTGGCAGGATGGCTCTGAATCCCCAAAGCAGGGATTCTGGACTTTTATACGTGGAATCAGATAAACATCTCCCTTCTCCTCGTCCCTCCACAGCCATATCACTATGAACACTGTATTTGACAGGTCCCTTGGGAACAGAATGCTGATCTCTAAGAAGCTAAGGGAAGGGAAAGAAGCAACGGTAGGCGCACACACCCCACCACCGCAAGCTCAGAGCTTGTTCCTTGGAAGTGAGACAGCTTAACTTTATTCAGGGAAAGAAAGTCAAAAAAGTATCTATGTAACCAAGGAAACAGTGGAAGTTCTGTACTTTGATCTCATTGATGATCTGAGAAGGGAACGGAGCGTGGTGCTGGCAGTCAGAGGGACAACCTTTTCTCTCCCCCTGTGCATCTTCACTGGACAAGGAAGGCCCCTGGACTCTTAGCATTCGATTAAAAGTAGTTCTCACTTCTCTTTTGATCAGTGCTGTAAGGAAAAAAGAACAAGGCTTATTATATTCATTATATTCACATCATGAAGAGTTCCCTCAAATCTCTCTCCATTGAGTGGTGTGTCAGGACCAGCATGAGGAATGTGTTAGGCTTCCAACATCCCAGGCCTCTGAGCATCTATTCCTTTGAACAATCAGAGGCTCCTTATGACCCACCAACCAGGGCAAGAGCAGAAACAATGCACCCTCAGCTCTTCTCAGGAGTTTAGGTTAATGGTAATGCCTAGCCAATCTATTAGAAGATCTCTGTGTGTCCTGTAAGCAGCAGCAGATAAACAAGCATCACTATTAGGTAGCGTTTACACTAGAAAGATGAACTGGTGTGTTGTGCCATTTAACATGTCGGTGCTCTAGCATACCTGAACTAGCCATCACATCAAGTCACGTTTTCAGCCCAGCACCACATTACAGAAGGCCCCTGAGATGCGACCACTCAAGTTCCAACCCTTCCTCCCCCACCGCACTTGCAAAAATGGTTGTAAGCGCAGAAGGGGCTGGAAACCCCGACTTACATCCTCAGCCTGCATTTACAATGGTGCATGGCACCTACCGTAAATGCGGGTTCGAGTTATAACACCCCGAAGTTGCAACGCTTCCTCCGGAACCGATCGCGTCACAAGTTGGGGGCCTCCTGTCGTTCTGTTATAGCTGCAGCGCTTGCTGAGTACCTAGCGCACAGTTCTTGGCACAGCTGCCAGAAGCAACTGCTTCTGGGGAGATTCTGAAATGTTACCAATAAACTATAGAACACTAGCTGGAAAACTGCCTAATTGTTTCACTGAAATCAGTGCAGACTGAAATGGTTCTGTCTAAACTGTTGTTCAAACCAAGTGGTACTTGTTTTTCAGGCAAGCCCTAAGGAGTACTTGCTGGTGTAGACACAAGGTGTTTTACAAGCACTCTGTAGGAAACAAGCAGTCCTTAACACTGTAAACGTATAGTGCAGAAAATACTTTAACCCAAGAGACAGATTAGGAGGAAGTCTCCCATACTGTATAACACAGTGCCCAACAGACTCCTGACCTCTCTGATCCTGAAGTGACAAAGATGAAAGTCCCATAACTCAAAACCTTGCACTTTGGGTTGGAAACTAGATGAGTCAGAACAGCAACCCCCTTCCTCTGCTTCTAAATAGGGACAGATGAGCAGGACAAAGCTTTGACTAAAAGAAAACCAGGGAGAGCATGTACTTCATTACACAGGCAAGACCTCTCCTCTGATCTTACAGAAGTCCCTGCCTTTCAGGTCAGGAGCAGCCACAGTGCAGAGAGTGGAGGCCTACCTGTGATGTTGGTCGACAACCAGGTGCAGGCCTTCTCAGTAGCCAGTCCCACTGCAATGTCTTCTGCACTGCTCAAAACCTTTGAAATGGACAAAGCAGCACGGCAGTTATCACCACTCGTAGGAGAGTTGTGCCTTGCCAGGCAGGGAGAGACAAAGGAACAAAATCTCTAGGGAAGACTTCATTTCAACATACATTGTGTTCAGAGTCAATATGGGCATCTCCTGATCAATTCAAATGGGACAAGGAAACTGGGCTCTCAAATAACCAAAAGGGTCCTTTTACACATTTTCACTGTGAACCCCATTGACTCAGGCAGTATTTGGTGCTATGAGAGACATGTAACAATGTAGAATATATATTAAATATGATTAATGAATCACATTAATCTGAATGGGAGCTAACAGTGAAGTCAAATGATAAGGATGTGAATAACTTTGACATTTTGGATCATTTTGGCAGAAACGCTCACTCAACCTGAACAGGCATGCGCGACTCAGAGTGATTTTACATCTTTATGTCAGTAACTTTGGCCCCCCTACCATGGAAGGGTTTAAAAGTGGCAGCAGTGGCAATACAGGGATACTGATCAGGAATGAAAGGCAAGGCCTTTAGTAGGCACAATACATACTGCTGCTGTCGTCTCTTCTGGCAGCAGCACTCTCACAGCCTCAGGCCCTTTCAACCTGCAAAATCTGCAAAGAAAAATGGCAAAACACCCTACTGTTGTGTCAGCTAAAGCTCTAGAGGTACCTCTACCTCTTAGGGTAGGGTTCTCAACCTTCATAGCACCAATGCCCCCCTTCTGACAACAAAATTACTACACAAGCACAGAAGTGGGGGACTGAAGCCTGAACCCGTCTGACCCCCACTACCAAAGACCCGGGGCCTCAGTCTCAGGCAAGGGGCCTGTAACCTCAGGGCTGATGTCCAAGGGCAAAGGGGCACAGGCTTTAGCTATGGCCCCAGGCAATGGAGCTCAAGCTTCAGCTTCAACCCTAGGCCCCAGCAAGTCTACATCAGTGCTGGCACCACCATTAAAATGGGATCATGACCCACTTTGGGGCCTTGACCCACAGTTTGAGAACAACGGCTCTAGGGTGACAGGGACGTCTCTGCTGGGACTTCCCCTTGCTTTATTACATTTCATCATTTGGACATTATAGTGGGTCCCACGACCAGGAAGGGCAGAATCAGGTACGCACAATTTAATTACTGGCTCCTGCTACAGGTAGTTGAGCTGTAACACCCAGGACTCCTTCCTTCCTCTCACAAAAGAGGGGAAAATACAATCACTAGAGAATAAGTCCATTAGGAGCTAGAAGCAGCTAGGAGCAGCTAGGTTATACAGGATAGTACCCTCCTCAATTCCTTCCCAGGATCAGAAGGAACCCAGAAAGAATCTGAGCTCAGATTATAGGGATGCTGCTAAACATCCCAGAATGTCTGAAGCAGAGGCCAGGGAGGTTAAAAATACTGGTGTAATCATAGAGCCTGCATATTAAGGAATCTGCAGTGAAATGGAAGAGAAGTGACTAGTTTGAGTAGCTTCTGCTTACTCTCTGCCTTTGTGGAGAGCCTGTGCCCCTTCCTCGTAGAGCTGGGCACACACCTCGTCCAGCAGTTTGCTATGATTAGCATCCTCTTCTTTTACCTTATCCTGCAGCATGACCTCTGCCCTTTTGACCAGCTCTGCTACCAGGGTTGCCCTGTTACAAGACAACAGCACAACAGAGAACAAATCAGGAAATCAGGAAACCTCTTCAAGAGGGGAACCATTTTCCTTTAGACCACAGGCGAAACACCACACTAAGACAAAAAACTTTATTACATGGTATTTATTGTATTACTCTAACCCCCTCCCCTCCACTATGAGAGAATCTTATCCCATTTTCATTGGAACTCATTGCCACAGGATGCTGTTGAGGCCCAAAAACAGTAAGATTCAAAAAGGGACTATAAGTTTCTACTACCAGCAAGACTATCCAGAGTTGTCAGTGATGGCCAACACATTTTGGAAGAGAAATTAAACCTCGTGCCTCAGGCCTTAAGTCAATCTCTAAATATTAGGATTTAGGATAAGACACAACATGGAGGGTATATTATCCCACAATGTGACATTTCTTGCACCTTTCTCTGAAGCATCAGCTACAGGACACTGGGCTAGAAGAATTACAGACATGATCCAGTATGGCAATTCCTATGTTTCCATGTTCACTTCAAACAGATATAATCCAAACTGACAAAGGATACACAGCCTCTCCCTGAAAGTATTCTCAGAAACACCCTAGGACACTAAGCTCTTTTGTGCACGAGTTCAGGCAGCTAGTCACCAGCACCTTGCCTAGACTAGCACTTACACTGGTGTCCTCTAGCAACTGACAGTACTGAACTCAGCAGGCAGTAGACTCAAAGGGATGTTCTAGAGCAGACATCAAGGTGTAAGTGTCTGCTTACATGATCTATGTTAAAAACACTGGTAATTTCCGCCCAAGTCTTACAGGCCAGGCCTACAGGAGACCTGGAATGTTGGTTAAGGTATGCAACTTCAGCTATGTAAAATACATAGCTAGAGTCATCTTCCATTGAGTTTGGTGCCATCTTCACCGAGGGAGGCCAACAGGAGCACACACTCCCATCGGCTTCCCTTACTCAGCGACTGTCAGAAGTACTGGTGCCAAGTGGGGCCACGAGAAGAGCAATCTCCAGGGCAGCAAGTGAACACATGACATGGCCTTACTGAACAGATGCCTATGTCACGAAGCCACCATGGTATGGCCCCTCAAAAGAGAGGCCATGGGCAAATGGGACACGACAAGGAACCAAACTTGCTGTTTCACCCCTAAAAGTGGATGCCCATCTGACCAGGATCATACAAACTAGCTGTGCAATATTATGACACCTTACTCTATCTGCACTTTATCTCTTGTTGACAGGCCTTCACTCCCTGAAACAGTCGGTCCAGGGCCTCCAACTAGCACTCAGGTTCTCATACAGAGTTTCTCTCTCAATTTAGAAAATCCACCACCACAAAGAATGAGAAGAATCTCTGAGAGGGCTCATTAGAAAGAGGAAACACTCCCAGGGATACTCTGGACTAATGTGTCTGCCATTGAGCTCTGGCTACAGGGGGGGGGGGAACCTTGGAGAATGAATCTGAAAACTGGCAAGCCCCAGTCAGAGACATGGAGATCACTGCCTCAGAGGAGGCTACAGAAATGGGGCTCAAAACTTTTTATCTGATAAACGTATTTGCAGATCTTTCTAAATGAAATTGATCAGTTTTTCAAAGTAGAAGCTTGGTACCACTGGGAGGGGAGGCTTATTCTGCATAGGCCAAAGAGTGCCCAAGTGGATTCCATTCCAGTCTCAGCGTCCTCAAGAAATCCAATATGGGAGAAAACTTCCAACATCCAGGGAGAGATTCTCCCCACCTTCCTCTCCAAGGGAAGTGGCAACTCGCCTTTGAAACAGCTGATATACTAAGCTGTAATTTTAAAATAAACACTGCCCATTTGTAATGCCATCCAATTGTGGGCTTCTCATAGGACTGTGTTATGAGTGAGAACCTTAACACTCCATCAGGCAGGGAAGTAATTCCTTGTTTCCACAAATGAAACAGACACCAAGAGATTAAATGACTTCTGCCCAACGGCGCCGAACAGGTCAGTGGCTAACTCCCAGGGCCCCCGTCACCCATGTTTTACAATGCCTGCAAGTGGCAGCCAGTGTTCAGGGGCAGGTTAGGGAAGGTTCTGTCATCTTCAAAGGGATGAGGCTGCGAGGCAAGACAAGTGGGCAAACAGCATTTGCACAGATGTCTAATCGGATGGGCTCTGCTGTTACACAATCTCCTTCCATCTTCAAAAGGGGACACCACTTTCAATACATCTAATGGGAAAAAATGCAGAGTGCTCCCCAGAATGAGCCTAACAAAGCACCAGACAGACTCGGACTGCCCACTGTGAGCAGTGAGGCCAATGCAGCAACTCTCTCTGCAGCGTACACTCAAACCCTTGGCCTCAGATTAAAACACCAGGCAAGTAGGAATTTTTGAAGGTGCCAAAACCAGCACTTACTTGATGTGCTTAACGCAGTTGGATCCCACCCTCTCCGCTACAAATTCCACTGTTCTCTGCAGGGATGGGGGCTGATTGTGGAAGAAGGCCTGCTCCAGCTCCACCTGCTCAAAAGGAAGAACAAGAGCTACAAAAAGACCAAGGCACTCCACACCGGTCCTCTCCTCTGAACTACAGGAATAAACAGGCCCAGAGCACATTTCTGTGCACAACAGAGCTGCAGACACAAAACTTGCCTATAATAGAGCATTTTGTGATTACAACCCTGGATAGAAGCATTTTACAGGGTGTGCAAATCTTCCTCTTATCTGTTAGCCCAAAGCTTACTTCTTGAGTTATGGGAAACTGCAAAATGATTGATTACAAGGGGAAGAGAGAAAGAAAAAAATATTGATAGCTCTTGTCCAGTCTGAGAGTAGCACCTTCTTAGCAGGCTTCAACTAGGAGCACTGTATGGCAACGAGCCATTCCCAGGGGGCGTAGCTTTATCCCCTTGAATTAGAGAATTGGCAACACTGCACCACACACATCCTAGCATTACTACAGAGGAGTCAGAGCAGTGTAAACAGGAAGTCAGGGTACATGCCACAGAGAAGAGAGAGGAAGACAGACTGGGTAAATAATCATCTGTGTGTTTGACAGGAAAGGATTCTATATTCAGGTTCTCTGAAATTTAGAGCCCTCCTCCTATCAATGCTGGAAGATTTTACAAGCAGAATAGTAGGATCAGTCATCCTTCCTCTTAACTGTTAAGCAGGAGATTGCTTTCTGACTATGACTTTGTTGATCTCCCTCCCATATAGTTTTAAGATAACAGTACAGCTTGCAGTCCTGAACACTTCCTCCCTTTGTATATCTGTTGTAAAAAGCCACTTCATTTTCAGAGTTCTCTCATTACATAGAAACAATGTAGATCCCTAACTTGTGCAAGAAGACAGTACACCACTCCTCTCAGGTTCTCTCTACCTGCAATTTTTGCTGTGTGATGGAAGGTTTGGGTGCCAAGGACTCCGTGGCAGTTGGGGTTATTTTCCTTATAAAACCACCATTCTTTGATCCACTGCCAGCCACAAAGGAAGCCAACAGCTTCCGTAGCTCTCCTGTAAAAAGAAACAGGGGTGAAGAGTAGTCCCCACATACACATTTGTAACCATGGACAATGAGCCAGATATGCCCAGGCGTTCATTGAAACAGGTTCTGCAATGTCTTAGCTTTTGTGAAACCAAAGGAGAGTAAGTTTCGGATCTGAGGAGAGGCCAGTGCAAACCCAGCCTCCCGTACACTCATGGTGGCGATGAAGCAAGATGCAAGCCCCTACCCTTTGCAGCTTGGCACAGCACCCCCAGAAGCTGCTCGACTAGGGCATATTGAGCTAGACAGGTAGCTTGGCACAGCACCCCAAAAACTGCTCGACTAGGGCATATTGAGCTAGACAGGCTTTGGTGACAATCCCGCCCACTCCTCCTCAGATTGCAGGATGAAAAGTGGCAGCTCTGCAAAGGCCACTGGGTTTGTGGGAGAACGAAGGTTCCTGAGCATAGCAGGGCAGGTATGGAGAGAATGCTGGAGGTGAGCGCCATGCAGAGAACTTCAACCCTGCAACTTGTGATGAGCATTTA